ATATATAATTACTTTAGAAAATATATATAATTTTTTTTAGAGAATATGTAATTATTTTATATCTAATTAAATAATTGACACAAAATTAGATACTTATAAAAATTATATTTTCAAAATTGCATGATTATTTTTTAGCTGCATGTGTTTATATAGCAATTATTTTTTAAAGTAATGATTATTTCTTTATTCTATTTTGATTTTGATTTTAATTTATTTGTTACAGATGTATCATCGTAGCGACGTACCAGATATAACTCCACTGTTGCGCATCGGGTCGGTGAGTGACGAATCAACAATTATATTGTAAAATTCTTCAATATGTGATTGATTTATATATTTATAAGAAACCAAAAGCAAGAAACATCGTATTGGAGAATTTTACATTAGCAAAGCTGTTTTTTTGTAGCCATTAATGTATTCAAGATGTTACACATTTACACATTTATAAAGTAATTTAAATAAGAATACACGGGTAAAGATAGGTGAATAGGCACCAATAAATGAAAACACGGCTAGATAGGATAAGTACGGATTGGTAAGGACAGATAGGATAAATATGGATAGGTAAAGATAAACACAATAATTAAAAAATTAAATTATTTCTGTGATTAGTGATGACTATTAGCGTATTCAATTTATTGACTCGACTCGACTCCGAGTTAGTGGTCTGTTCTGTTTAGTTGCAAACGTGCTAAACTGTGCAAGAAATACAACTAAAAAGAATAGACTGTTGACTCAAAGTCGGGTCGAATCAGTAAATCGAATACGCTATATATGTATATCCATTCATGGAATGTTAACGTTTACGAAACATATAATTTCTATATATTTTATTTTTATAATGTAAGTATATATCTAAATATGAAAATATCTATTCCAAAATATTAAAAATCAGTTTTTATTGTATAAGAAATATCTTTATTATTTCATATGATTTATAAATAAAATATTAAATTTTTTTGATAGTTTTTACTATATTTAATTATGTTTACATTTAAAATAAATCTGACTATCAAAAAAAGTGAGATATTCTGATTCAATAAAAACGTTTTTTTAATTTTATATTTAACATGAGTTAATTTAATCGTAATATAACTTTGAATTAGTTTTATGTTTATTCATCTTATATTATTCAACTTAACTAAATTAATTTTATATTCTATTAATTTAATTTATTTAAAAAAACATAATACATGGCATTTCACATAAGTTTAATCTTTCATAAAAGAAACTAAAAAATATTTAATATAATAATAACAGTTTTTTGCTTAATAAATTAGTGATATTATTGTTAAAATGTTAAATATTATTATTTGTATATCTTGTTTCTTCCTATTCGTTAGTTACAAAAAAATGTGTTTAAAGCCAAATTGACTCTTACATTTATTTTAGGAGAAAGCTCAAATTCGGTGTTATATTTATAAAAAGAATGTAACTTCTTAATTTCATCAGCTTCCATTTATCATCTCCTTTCTTACGAACAATTACTGCTAAAGAAAGTATAGACATAGAATTAAATTATTATTTTACGCTATATTATTATGCCTATATTAATTGCAATTATATAATACATAACAATGATGTACAAATAACAAAAATGTTACATCTACAAATAGTTAATACAACATGATTCAAATAGATCTTTATTTATCTGTAATTTATTACCATAAATAATAATTACAATCACTGAAGTGATATCTTCTTTCTCTTTCCATAAAATTAAAATTTTTAAAAATATCTTGTGGTTGTTATATCCCTGGCATGTAGTGTTAACTTTTCGTTTTTTTCACTTTAAGAAACGTAAAACATACAAATGCTCTCCTTTCACTTTTCTTTCATGAACAATTTCACTAGACATATTTAACTTTTTGAAAGCGCTCAATATATATTCAGGATCATTTTCTTTTATAACATCTAAATAAAACAATCCTGTATCTGATAAGATTTTGGGAATAATAATAAATACCTATTCCGTAACTTGTTTACCATTTTTATCATCTGTCCATGTTTTGAATACGGGTCTATCATCTATTCTTCTTCGTTATATTCTGTAACTACATACGGAGGATTAAATAAAATAATGTCAAATGTATATTTAATTCGTATGCAATCTAATAAATTCATTTGAAGAACATCTACATCGACTAAATTAATTAGACTAATTATTCTTGTGGCTGTACGTGCATCAGGATTTATATCAATCGCAAAAAACATTATGATATTTTTTTAATGCCATTATTAAAGCTGTGATAATATGCCAGAGCCAGTACCTATCTCTAAACAAATCCTTTGCTTCATCATATGCAGAATCTCTAAATCTGCCTTCAAAGCGTCCACCAAAAGATACGAATCCTCAGAAGGCTCATAAACTGAGCTTCTCATCAGGCAGTTTAATTATTGGTGTCGCCATAATTTATAAGAAAAAATGTAATAAAATTTTATAAAACTTATAAATAATCATTTAGTAACAATTTAAATATTACATATCTTATCGATCATAGGTTTAATATCGGAAATTATTGCTACTTATCTCTGCCATAGCTGGTTCTTCTTTATCAGCTTCGATACTTGCGTTGTTATATGCAGAATTATTATCTAGTAGTATTTTTCGTTTAACGCTGCTCTTCTCGACAGCTTGATGCACCTTATTCAAACACTCTTGGGTACTTTGTAGAATGTTGCTAATAATGATAATCTTATGTTTAGCGTTAACTAGTTTTTTTACATAGGAAGCTGTGTCCAGCGGATACTGCAACATTTCCTTGATTTTTTGAAGTTAGTTTCTCTATTAGAGATTTAATCTGTTACTTCAGCTCAATTTGGTATATTCTATAAAAAATAATAATTGTATATAAATAAAATAAATTCTTCATTTTTGTATGCAACACAATATATAAATGAATTTATGAATGAATGAATAGATAAAAATAAATGTTATTTTATATGATATGATGACTACTTCCTTTTTAAGAGACACGGTCGACATAAACGTTGTTATTCTTTTTGACATTCAATAACAGTGGCAAAGATAAAATGATACTTGTATCGACTGTGTTTAATAGAAAAGTGGACTCTGTCTTCTACAAAAACGTGACAGAAATAACAAGCGTAGAGAGTGTGATCGCAATATCGAAGAGAAGTTTTATCGTTCGTGTATACGCTCTGTAACGAATCGTAACGAATAAATTGTGGTACCTTGTAGCGCGAATTCTCATTTAGTTGGTCCACTGCAGGTTTCGGGAGGCGTTCAATTATCCGCGCTGACTCTTATTAGCCTTGTTATCTGTTAATTTTTGGTATTTTAAAAATTGAAAGTCTGTTTTGATTCTTATTATTTATTGCTTATTTATTTATTAACAGTAGGAAGCTATCAGAAATCATAACACAATATTAATATAACATAAAGACATGTAACAGAGTAGTTGCGAGGAAATTACCTCCACTTCATCTATTTCTTCTGACTTCTGCGGCATAAATCCCAACGCGGCATATTTGTCGGAGTTACCCTAAATATTCTTCGCGACGAGATAAAACAAAATTCGCTAAATTAACTTGTTTGAATTTTCCATTTCGTTTATTAAAATTCAACAATTCTTATTTACATATGTAGGAGATGCAACATTTTTTCGTTCAAGGATCCATTGAACTATCTCTCCTATGGATAGTCGGCAGGCTTCTAGCCTGAGGATTTAGTACAGAGATGAATCACATCTACTATCGACGATACGATTTTATCGATAGTTTCAGAAAATGTATATAGTCACGTAGTTCCCAACTGAAATGGATGTACTGGCGGTAGTGTACAGGCGATTTTGACAATCCTAACCTTCCATTTTCTAAGTATTTTGAAGTTGATATTTATTGGTTAGATCTCGTATTTTTAAATCATTGCATTTAATTCGTGTGTCTTGTTATTATTTATATATTATACAGATATACAGAATTTAAGAATTATGTTATATATTGAGAGTGCAAGTCAAAGTGCAAAATATGGAATCTGCCTCATTATATACATGTTTTAGGTTAAAAGTAACTTCGTAATCGATTGACAGTAATATTTAAAATCAAATTTCTTCTTTTATTTAATACACGAGAGATAATTCAGTAACAGAAATCTTGGGAATATTTCTGAAAAAAATTTGGCAGAATAAACTTTAAACTTTCACGTTCGAAAATATCTGTAAATTTGTTTTTGGACACATAACAGGTCCCATAAAAAAGAAAATTTCCAATTTGTTCAACTTGTTT